CTTCCAGCTTTTTTCTTTTTGCTTATGTGGTGCTGAGGAATCGAACCCAGGGCCTCAGGCATGCAAGGCAAGTGCTCTACCACTGAGCCAACTTCCCAGCCCCCACCATTTTCTTAATCTCCACTTCTGGGGATTATAGGTAGAAGCCGTCTATCTTGGCCTGTTTTTTCTTATAGTTAAGCAGAAATCTGTGCTAAGAGAAGGTAGATGATCTGTATTTCTCATTAACTCTACCAGTACCAAGTATGGGACTTGTTGATAGCAGGAACAGAACATCGCCCATAATAGCACCATTACCATCTTTATTTTGTATGTTTCTTTTTATTTGGAGGGTTTCTTTTGTCGTACTTATTTTTTTGAGACAGCTCTGTGTGTAGCCCAGCTGGACTTGAGTTCATGATCCTGCTGTCTCCTGAGTACTGGGGTCACACGCAAGGGCCACTACATGCAACTCAACAGCTAATATTGTATTCATTATTATGTGTAATCTATATGTGAGACACTTTTCAAAATGTCCTAATGTTCCTCAAACTATACCAGTCCTATGAGGAAAGTGCAATCTTCCCATTTTACAGATGATGACACTGAAGCACTTACGGGAAATACAAAGAGGTTGAAATAACTTACCCAGATATCTCAGCTAATAATAGTGCTACATTTTGCAAGCAAGCAGTTTGTTACAGAATCTGTTTATGCTATCATTGGATCTGTAATGCATAGTTTATCATGATGTGTTCTCTATAGACTGGCCATACATAATAAGAAGATTTCTTTCTTATTGGACTTTGATGTTTTGAACAGTTATGAATGATTTGTATTTAGTTGTTCCTGGCATTGATTTAGATCTGTAGAACAGAGTAGGAATGCTAGCTTTCTGTTTCCTCCTTTTGTATTCTTCACAAAGTCAGGAGAACAGGCAGAACGCGTACTCCTAGCTTTATCAGTATTAAGAGTTTCTCCTGTCACTTCAGTTTATGTTCAGGAATTGCCATTGCTTTGGTGAATCACAAAAACCAGTGTTTTATATAAAACCTTTTAGATTTGGAGGATGAAATAGTTTAAAAATGATTTTTTGAACTATATAAGTCACGAATAGATAATTACATATAGTTATATAACATAACTGATGGATAATATATAATAAAATTTTATGTACTCTTGACAGTGTTGGTCCTGCTTTGATCTGTACTGTTGTGGTACAGAGTAGGTGCAAGTAATTGTGAGCAGTAGCTTTCTTTCATAGAACTCTCAGTTCTGAGCTGATCACATTTACATCCTTCAATCCTCTTAACATTCCGATGAGAAGGATGTTACTGAACCTATTTAGGAGGCCTAGATTGAGTAGGCAATTTGCCCATAGATCACATAGATCACAGTCAGGATGGATTTATTTATTTGTTTGTTTATTTATTTATTTATTTATTTTTCGGTCCAATTGTGAGACCTGAACTGTGGGCCTGGGTGCTGTCCCTCAGCTCTTCAGCTCAAGGCTAGCATTCTACCACTTGAGCCACAGCGCCACTTCCGGCTTTTTTCTTTTTTCTTATGTGGTGCTGAGGAATCGAACCCAGGGCCTCATGCATGCAAGGCAAGC